TACCATGGAAGTGTACATTGATGACATGTTGGTTAAGAGTAGGAGACGGAATTACCACATCGCGAACTTGGAGGACGCCTTCTCCATTCTCCGTGAGTATGGGTTGAAGCTGAATGCGACTAAGTGTTCTTTTAGAGTTGGTTTTGTAAATTTTATGGGGTACTTAGTAAGTCGGCGTGGTGTTGAGGCCAACCCAGAGCAGGTACAGGCTATCATAGATGTACGTAGACCCCGGACAGTCCGAGATATCCAGAAACTTACAGGAATGTTGTCTTCCTTAAACCGTTTTATATCCCGGTCGTCGGACAAGTGCAAGTCTTTTTTTAGTGCCATCCAGAAGTCTGAAAAGGATATTTGGAGTGAAGAATGTGAGAAGGCGCTCGGAGGGATAAATGAGTACTTCAGGGTCTTCCCGACCTTGTCGATTCCAGAGAGGGGGGAGACGTTATTCCTCTACTTGCCCATTTTTAAGTTCATCGTTAGCGGCGTACTAGTCCATGAGCATGAGCATGAACAGAAACCAGTATACTATGTGAGCAAAGCTCTCTTGGATGTGGATACAAGATACTAGCTTTTGGAAAAGCTTGCATTTGCACTAGTCACGATCGCAAGGAAGTTAAGGTATTACTTTCAAGTGCACCCCATTATCGTCTTGACAGACCAACCTTTGAAGGCAATCCTAAGGAAGGCGAATCTCTCTGGGAGGGTAGCGAAATTGGCCGTGGAGTTGGGGGAACACGACATTCATTACAGGCCTCACATGACGATCAAGGGTCAAGTGTTGGCGGACTTCATAGCCAAATTTTCCAAGGGGGAACCACCTCCCCCTGAAGAGGAGCTCTCAACAGACAACCAAGTGCACTCCTGGAGACCCTGCGTGGACGGATCCTCCAACAACAAGGGTTTTGAAATCAGAGTGTTATTAGTCTCCTCGAAAGGATTAGTTACGGGGCATGCCATACTGCTGGGCTTTAAGGCATCCAACAATAAGGCAGAGTACAAAGCCCTTATCTCTGGACTCAAACTTGCCGATGCAGCGGGGGCTGCGGAGTTAACGATCCTTTGTGATTCCTTACTGGTGGTCAACCAAATCAATGAAAAATTCGAAGCAAGGGTTCCAAGGATGAAAGTTGATCGCCAAGCAGTTCAAGAATGTGGGTTTCAAGCAGGTCCCCCGAGATAAGAATGCCCATGCCGAGGCTTTAGCATGAGTGGCCTCGACATTGGACTCTAAATGACACGAAAGATTACTATGGAGTTCCTTCCTAATTCCAGCATAAACAAAGCCCCCAGAGTGGTAGCCATCCTGGAGGGGGAAGAGTCCCTTAGCTGGATTAATCCACTACGTAAGTTCATTGTCTTCGGGGAACTTCCAAAGTGTCACAAGGAAGTCAGAAAGATAAAGTTGAGGGCTCCAAGGTTCTGGGCCTCCCTAGATTAGAAGTTGTATAGAAAATCATTCTCTGGACCCTATTTGTTTTGCATCTGCGAAGATAAAGTTGAGCTTTTCCTATATGAAGTGCACGAAGGCATACGTGGGACGCACTAGGGTGGACAATCAATGACCCATCGTATTATATCGTAAGGATATTGGTGGCCACAAATGCAAAGGGATGCACAAGCTTACGTCTGAAAATGTGAACAATGTCAAAGGTTAGCTCCCACTATTAGAGAATGAGTAGGAGATTTACACCCATTAACCAGTCCTTGGCCGTTTGCCCAATTAGGACTCGACCTAGTCGAATCCATACCAAGGGCTCCTAGAGATAAGAAGTTCCTAATAGTCGGGACCGACTACTTCACATAGTGGGTTGAGGCTGAACCATTGATTCATATCTGGGACGTAGGCACCAAAACGTTTGTGTGGAGGAACATAGTGACAAGGTTTGGGGTCCCCCTTGCACTTGTATTGAATAACAAGACTCAATTAATAGGCGAACCTCCAAATCTTTTTGTGAGCATATCGAAATCCAGAATTACTATTCCATGCCCTTATAACCATAGGCCAACGGGCATGCAGAATCTTCAAACAAGACAATCATGAATGGAATTAAAAAGAGGTTGGAGAAAACTAAAGGGAAGTAGGTGGATGAGCTCCCGAATGTCCTTTGGGCTTACAGGACAACTCTGCAGACCTTAATGAGCGAGGCGCCATGTGCCTTGGCATACGAAGTAGAGACGGTTATCCCTCTGGAGGTAGGCCTCCTTACTATAAAAACATAAGCTTTTGGCACTAGGGAGAATGATCACCAGCTCGAAGCAAATAAGAGAAATGGTTGTCTTGAGACTAGCTAAGTACCAAGAAAGGGCGTCCAAACTCTACAATAAAAGAGTAAAACTCTGAAGTTTCCAAGTAGGCGACCTGGTGCTCAAAAAATTAGTCGAAAACACTCATGACCCGGCCGATGGAAAGATGGGACCATACAAGGTTATGTCAGTAGGAGGCTTCGAATCGTACAAGTTAGAGGATATGGAAGGGAATGGTATACTTCGGTCTTGGAATGTAATGAATTTGAAAAAGTACTATTTTTGATAAACAAAGGTTTATTTTTTGTTAAGTGTGCTGTCTTGGAAGGGGCATGGCCCCTGAGACAGAGTCTTGAGACTCTTCCCTCGTAGCAAAGAAATGAGTTGAGCCTCCTAGAAGGGGTATGGCCCCTGAGGCAGAGTCTTAAGACTCTTGCCTCCAAAGAAAGAAAGGAGTTGAGCCTCCCGGAAGGGGCATTGCCCCAGAGGCGAAGTCTTAAGACTCTTGTCTCCAAAGAAAGAATGGGGCATGGTCCCAAGGGTGAGACTTTAGAAAAAGTCTTATCCCAAAAAGATCTAGGGAGCGAGGCCTCTTAGATGGGGTATGGTCCCAAGTGTGGGGCCTTAGAAAAAGACTCACCCCAAAAAGACCCATAGGGCGAAGCCTCCTAGATGGGGCATGGTAGAAATTTCTCCATAAAAGAAGTCGAGGCCCATACCCCCAAGGAATTACACTTGGAAAAAGCAGATAAAAGAAAAAGAAGGAGATGCAAGCACTTGGAAAAAGAAAAGCATTATTGTATTGCGAAAATGATGGCTTTGCGTCCCTCAAGCTACAAAGACGAAAGAAAAACTGAAATTACAAGGAAAGAAAACCAAAAGATAATCTAAGGAGGCCCAGTGACCTCACTGCCGATGCCACCTCCATTGTCGTGAAAAAACTCATCAATGCTAGTGGAAAAGGAGTCGGCGCTGTGAGAAGGAGGCGCTGCGTCGGCAAGAATAGTAGAAGCATCATCCTAATGGGTAGACACAGTGTTAGCAAGGGTGAAGCTAGAGCAACCTCAATAGAAGCCAGAGCAGAACCAATATTAGCAGGATTCTAAGCTGCATCGGCAGGAAGGGGAGCAGAATCACCCCGAGGCGTAGGAATGGGGGCCACGGTCTTGGCTGCTGGAACTGAGTTTGGGACTTGGGGCATCACAACGTCTTCAACTATAACTTTAGCTGCTTCTTGCACCATCTCCTCATAAGAAATGTACTCATGCTCCTTGAAGAGTGGAGACTCTGCAGAGACCCCGGCTGCCCGAAGTGCCTTAACCCACCCGATCTTGAAGTACTCCTTAGTCTCTTTGAAAACCACCAAGATGTCATCGGCGCATTAGTTGACTATTTCCTTTTCCGGCTTCTTATTGGTTTTCAGCTTAATTTATCCCACTCTTGGGTGAGGGAGGCACAAGTTTGTTCCAACACAGCTACCCTCATCTCGGCTAGAGACACTTGCTTCATCTCCTCGGTAATCTTCTTCTCAGAATTGACAAGTGAAGCCTTGGCCTTGTCCACCTCCCCTTTTACTTCCTAGCTCTCTTTGAAGAGCTTGGCGATCTGAATCCCTTGAGTGTAACGACCTCCTCCTTAGCCATGGTGAGTGCTCCTCGGGTCTTTTCCAAGTCGGTTTGGAGTCTCTCACATTCTTGGACCTTGTCCCGATGAGCATGGAAGCACTCGCTGATGATAGACACTTGTTGAGCCACCTGAAAGGCAAATGGAAGGAAAATCACGCCGATGGAAGGCTAAAGCGAAAAAGAAGAAAAAATTCACAAGTGTGGGGGCCTTACCGCCAACGAATTCTGGATAATGGAGTGGAACAAGTGGTTGCTCCCACTGCCGCGGTGGACCACCATGTCGGCATCAAAGAGGATTGCCTCACTCACAGTGTAGGCAGTGTGGGGAGCGGTAATGATGGAGTCATTCACCTAGATCAGTTGGTTTTCTCGATCTCAGGCCCTACCACGCCACTCCGAAACTCTGGGGGTCGACATAGGTGTTGGTGTCGACGTTAAAGTTGGAGTCAACATCGGAGTGGGAGTTTCTCTACCTCGGCCAACACCATCATGGCTACTTCCAAACATCCTCTTAGTTAAGGTTTTGAAGAACATTGAAGTCTGGCCAAACATCCCTACCTAAAGTGCTCGCCACAGCATGAATGGTGGTAGATGGGTCCCTTAACTCTTCAACATCGACAACAGTATCTTCGACAGCCTCTACCTCGACCTCGGTGGCTCTATTAGGGTCTTCTTCCAAGTTCTCATCGAATAGTGCCGACTACCGAGGTAGATCGAATGGTTGAGGGGTTTGGGAGAAGTTTCTGCACCCCAGAGTATAGTCTAGCAACAAGTGTATGGCCCAACCGAGTTTGTTGCCCAAGTATCCCCAAATAATGATGAGGTTAGTAAGGTTGACAAGGTTCCAAGGAGGCGGAGCAGACTCGGCGTTGGTGACTCCTGCAAAGATTAACGAAAGGGTGGTTAGAAGCAAGTTATATTCGCTAAGGTGATGTAAGTAGAGAAGAGAAAGAAAGCAACGTACTCGTTGTTCGCCATTGCTTGGGACACCACAAGTCAGTGTACTCGGGGCCGACTCCTCTCTCCCATTTAGCGCTGAAGATGAACAAGTCGTCCTTATACCCCTTTTCTGAATCTGGAAGATAGGTCATGAGGTACATAGACGGGTCTTAGGCTTTGAGGTAGAACCTCTGTTGGGGCATCACCCTCACCAAAGTATAGCAAAAAGGGATGTCTTCTATCGGCACTATGGAGTCCAAAAATGAACTCATTTACACCGACCTCAGAAGGGATGGAGTAATGGCTCTTGAAATTGGTTATTTGTTGACGACCCTTAATCGTATACTTTCTCCTACGAAGTCTCGGCATGGTGTAAGTAAGGTAGGGATTCGAAAGGAGAGTTCCTAAGGGTCACTACTGAGGAAACAAGGAAGAAAAATGAAGACATAGGGACAGGATGGTGCTACTAGGATAGAGAAGAGAAGAAACAGAAGGAAAACACTCGCAAAGAAAAAGAACAACTACTCACCAATGAACATGAATTTGATACAAAGGAGAGGTTGGTGGCTTCTTTCTCTGATGGATTCTAAGAAACTTACGGCTTTCAGGCAAACAATGGACTCTTCGATAGAACTTTGCCGTAGATCTCTAGTTCAATGAAGATTGCAAAAATGGAGGAGAGGGGCAAGGGCTTTGTTTAAATAGGGTCAAGGGGCTATGATTGCATATGACGGATCAGGAGGAGTGTATTAAATGAGACATGAACCCCAAGGAAGGGAAAGCAGCTGAACATGGAAGCAAGGACCAAGCCCTTTTATCTTCTCACGCCACGTCACCTTCGTCGTACAAAGATCAAGGGCTAGGGGCAATTGATGGGACATTTCTAAGAATTAACAGGGAGTCGACACATGTCCTTGGCTTGACTGACGTGGGCACAATATGGATTGGCACGTGTCCTCGACAAAAGTCCCCTCAGAGTTCTCTACATCTGACGCGTGTCCTCAACGTTGGTGCCCCTGAAACCTTCCTCGTATTGACATGTGTCCTCGGCGTACATGACACCCCCCTGAAGGCTTCTACCAGACACATTACCTCGGCATCAAGGAAATCATTAACTCGTATAGTTGTTTTGACGGTTATCGTAACTTGGAAGCTGAATTGGCCAGTATTCATTAACTCCCCTACCCAAGGAAATTAGAATGACAGAAAGGGCAATACAATAGCCAATGGTAGCGATGCACGAGGTGTAGAGCTCAAAATTGGGAGGCAATGGACAAAAATACCACTGCGCGTGCGCAACCACCAACAGGGAACATTTAATGACCCTTCAGAAGTATGGGACGCATTTATTGCTCGATGAACTATGAAAAGGTTGCATTAAGTGCTTGGGGATCCGAGCATTAAATGCAAAAAATTCTTTCCACATGACAAGGAAAACACTCTGCCCTAGGACTGCGCGTCACAGGTCACCTTTCATATAGGCCAATAAGGGGTCTTCCTTCTAGGGGACTCACCTGTCCACAATGATTAACCTCATGGAGGTATAAGTAGCTCTTACAAATTCAAACAAAGGTACACAAATCTCACCCAAGCAATAGAACAGTGATTTCCTACCCCTCTCTCACACACTGACTTGATCTTTAGAGGGGTCACACCAGAAAACACTACGGCGACCTCCTAACTTTTTTTTAAGTGAAAGAGTTCATCTCGATAAGCCCAGATCGTTCAAACCACTAAAAAAAGTAATTCATCACCACTATTTACATTATCTCTCACATCTGTTTGTTACGAGACTATCGACTTTCTAGGTAAAACTCACATTCACCAAACGAAAGATCTGTCTATTTATTTATTGTGCAAAAAATCACCGCGCACAATTATATATGATTATCATCGATGCGTTGATTTAATTACCAATTGACGACTGAGTAAAACATGTAAGAAAGACTGGATGGGAGCTTTCAGTATCAATGGGGCACTGAGATTGTATTGGTCGAAGGCTCTCCTACGTTCAATTTAGATATTTTTCCTACATTAAATATTAATTATTATACATATATATCTTGTTCGTGAAGATTGATTCCCTTTATATAAGGGGTGGCTAATGTATTGTTAGTGAATTTGTTGGCATGCAATTTTGGAGCTGATTATGGACTCTTAAGCATCTCCCGCTTAGTCTCCTCATGTTCTAGATTTTTTTTAACCTACAACTTGGACCTTTGAGTTGACACCTCCAATGTCTCTAGCTTGGATCTTTTTTTTTATTTGATTTTGATGGTGTAAATTGAATTGTATGAGTAATGAATCGTTATTATGCTTTGCAGTGATGGTGGTGTGATAATGAAAGAAAAGTTTTTCTAGGGGCTGGGAGGATTAACACGGAAGAAGTATAGTGGTTCACCAGCTCAGGAGCTCGGCTAATCCACTCTTTAATAGAGACTCTTGCTCCTTGCCTTTCAATAATGATGATTACCAGAGTACAACTGCTAGTTTTTGCCTCTAGGGTCCTCTGCCCTTCTTTGGGGGCGTTACATAGTATTTATAGGGTTGTTTCCTATTAGTGGGATCTTGGCCGAGATTCTTGCCCTTATTTCATGGGATTCTCCTTATTTCTAGGAGAAGATCTTGGTTGGTTGAGATTAGGTGCCTTTATTATAGTTTCCTAACGCTTCAAGAAGCTGTTGTGGTTATCTAGCCGTTGCCTTGCCTCAAATGACATTCAACCCTTGTCCTCTGACCTTAGTTAATATGAATGACCTCCTGGTCTGAGTCGAACTCCTGAGCTAACACTTGGGATTTACTTTAGGCATCATCAGCTGCCCCTCAGCCCTTGGCCCAAGCTCACTTGGGCATGGGTTGAGCTGCTTTCGCATTGGATCAGGCCTGTACCTAGCTGACCTTAGTCTGCATGTGAGATGCACGTGGGGGGCTCTTTGATGGTTTACAACAATCATGGCTTCCTCGATTCCCGCTCATATTTCTACCCATGTCACTCAAGCTTTTAATGCTCAAACGGTTGCTCAAAAACCTCTCAAAACTCTTTGTTCATCTTCCACGATGTTCACCTTTGTCTCCAGCTCTTTCTCTCTACGATTTCTGGGCTTTCCTCCATGCGGTTCTCTTATTCTCTGCTCAAAACTGTGCTTTCTGGGTTCGACTCGAAGTCATGCTTTGCTTTTCTCCTCCAATTTTGTTCTTTAGCTGCTGTTTGTTGCTCCTTCCCTGTCTAGGTATGCTTCCTTCTACCCCTTTCTCTTTCTCTTGTCTTTCCTCACTTTGGATCCCTCGACTTCGAGGTGGCCATTTTTTTTCTGGATTTTTTGGTTTTTCTTCTTTTGGAATCGCGATTGTTACCTATCTCCTCTTTCCCGCTTTGCGGATTGGAACTCCACTGTGCGAATTCATACTGTTGGGAGGTACAGTGCTGACCCTAGGATTATCAGGGGGTGTTTAGTTAGTCTTCCTCCTTTTTATAACTCTTTCGATTTGCCTTTCTCTTTACCAATCATGTCTGCCTCCTCTGGAGCAACTCCTTCCTCTAGAGCAGCTCCCTCCTCTGTTTCCCTCTTAGGTGACAGGTTTGCCGAGAGAGATTTTGATTTAGGGGATGTAGGTAATGAGATTGAAAACTTCCCTGGTGTTGAGGCTGTCGATATCGAGGTGGACTCCAAGGAACTCCCCTCATCTTCTTCTCATGTACCCCCTAGTACTGACAAGGGTAAGGGAAAGGTGAATGAGGTTGGGATTTCTGATAGTGCAGCGGGTATGGGGGCTTCTTTCAGTTATGCTGAGCTCGTGGGTCCCAGTGGGGTGGATCCTATTCTCATGGAAGCTCTTAGTGCTCGTTCTAGTTTTCCCCCGGGTGTTCAGCCCTGGTGTCCGAATAAACTCACCCCTTACGTTGCCCAAGTGCACAAAAGAGTTTGTTTCTTTATGGCCGCTTTCAAGAATGACCTTTGTTTTCCTATGCATCCCTTCATCAAAATGTTCTACAGCATCTCAATGTCTACACTGCTCAGCTTTCTCCTAACTTTTGGGGTGTTTTAGTGGGTCTTTTAGTTTTCTTTAAGAAGCATGGGCTTGGGACTCCCACCATTTCTCTACTTATGGACCTTTTCAATGTCAAGCTTACCTCAACTGAGGGTTTCTATATGTTTCTAGGCAGACCTCGTCTAGGCAGATCATCACACACCTCCCGAGTTCTCACAAAGGCTGGAAAAAGAATTTCTTTTTCGTTGGGGGTGTTAACTGGGAATACAACCCCGCTGATAAAATAGACACTCTTGGGATTCCCCGAGCCTGGTTAGCCCCAGATAAATTAGGTGAGTTCTTTTCTAACTGAACTGCGGTGTGAAGATTTATGAGTTGCTTTCCTGACCTCTGCATCTTTGGTGTTCCCCCTTTTTCAGGCATTCGACCTGAACTCAGAGCCGAGGACAAGTGGGTGAAGTTGAAGTTGGCCAAGTGTAATCTAGAGAGGTACTCTGAGCTCCTCAAGCCCTGGGAATTAGAAAGGCAGGTATTCAGTCCTCCTCCAATCCCACTTTCTGTTATCCGACCTGAGGACGTAGAAGGTAATGCTCTTTCCCTTATTTGGTTTCATTGCTCTCCTGCCTTTCTTTTTCCTTTTGACTAACCAGCTCAAGCTAAATTTTCCAGGGTCTTCTACAATTAAGCCTACCCCTGAGATGCTCCAAGCTAAGATAGAGGTATTGAAGAAGAAAAACAAGGGTAGTACCAAGCGCAAGGTTGAGGGCAGTTTTGGTGGAAGCCCAGTCGTTCGAGCTAAAGTTCAAAGAATGGATATTTTCCCTGCCTCTGCCTCTATCCAAAAGGCTCCACCATCTCCCTTACATGTTTCACCGACCTCAGGACTTCCTTCCCCCAATGGGACCCGACCTGCCACTGAAGATGCTTCTAGGCGAGACCAGTCCTCCCCTTCTGCATCTAAAGTTGAGAGGGCCCTGGAGACTGCTCACACTTTCCCTGGTCGTGCTGCTTCTGCATCAATCAAGGAGACCTCCCAATCTCTCATGATAGGCAAAGGAGTTTTCTCGAAGTCTGAAAATTCTCTTATTACCGATGTGAAGCGTGCTGCAGAGGCCATTGCCTCCATTATCCCAAAGTCTGACATTGATGCGGCCACTTCTGTACCCCTGGGAACTTGTGTTTTCACTGCGCTATATGGCTGTACCTCGGTGAGATTCTAATTTGTCTAATTCTCCCCCCCCCCTTTTTTTTTGGTTGTCCTGCGCTCTTCCCTTTACACTAATCATTCATGTTTGTCTTCAAAACGCTATTCAAATAAGCAACCTGTTAAAGGAAATCCAAGCCCTAGAGGGGTCGGTCAATGCTTTCAAAACTTTTGA